GCAATAAAATATTTTAAGCATCTACTGCCTAGATCATGTAATTGAAAAATCCCATGAAAACTGAACAAAGATTAAATATAAGCAGAGCACATTAACATGTTTTTTGTGTCTTTACTTCCTGCGTTCATTGTTGTTCTTGTTTATTCATATACTTAAGAACTTTGTGATTTAAAATATTTGTTTTGTAAATTATTACTTTTCAAAAACATTACAGGAGAGTGAATGCAAAGCCTATAACCCTAGACCATTCTGTAAAACATACACCATGGATAAGCAGCCACTGAATACTGGGGAGCAGAAAGATATGACAGAGTTTTTTACTGATTTGATTACTAAAATCGAGGAAATGTCTCCAGAATTGGTTAGTACCCAGTGCTGAAAGTTTGTGCATGTGATTTTTGTTTCATAAGTTTGTATAGATTTTTCCCATATTTTAACTACTGACTTTTGGTTTTTTTTTAAAGAAAAATACAGTCAAAAGTTTGTTTGGAGGTGTAATTACAAATAATGTTGTTTCCTTGGTAAGTATTGTATCAATTCTTTGCTTTTTGGACACCTTATATATATGTTTTAGCTTTCTAATAGTAAATTACTAATTTTTTACTGTTGATTGATCAGGATTGTGAACACGTTAGTCAGACTGCTGAAGAATTTTATACTGTGCGATGCCAGGTGGCTGATATGAAGAACATTTATGTGAGTACATAACTGTTAGATTATTTTTCTCCTTCTCATGGCATTTAGCACAAAGTTAGCTTTTGTCCTGTTAGTGTTAATGTCTTGCTGTATTAACTCAAGTAAAGGTAGACCACAGTTGAGCTTTACCCAATTAGAATTTAAATACTTGGCCCTTAAAATAATTCTGTAAGTTCCACAGAAATTTGTCAATAAAACAAAAAGTTCACCTTGTTTTAAAAATTGCTTTTCCTCTGTATATTCTGCCTCAATTTTAATGACTGCCCTTTGCATATTTGCATGCTGTCAACAGTCATCTGAAGGATCTCACTGTGGTTTTTATCTGTAGGAATCTCTTGATGAGGTCACTATTAAAGACACTTTAGAAGGGGACAACATGTATACTTGTTCTCATTGTGGGAAGAAAGTACGAGCTGAAAAGAGGTATGGTTTTTAAAATGTAGTTTTCATTGTTTGGATATATATCATAAGAGTTAAGATAATTAGGTTCAAATTAATTTGGAACTTTTTTAACGTATGGTTAGCTCCCTGGAGCTCAATTTCATGCGGAAACTTTTACTTAGTTATTCAGGGAATTATTTCTTTCAACATATGTGCTAGAAAGCATGAGATTCACATGTAGAAAGTCTAGGGTTTTTTTTGTGTGTGTGTGTGTTTGTTTGTTTAAATCATTTTGGGGGCTTAGACTACTCTTAGCACAATCCATACATACATTCATTGTGTCAAGCACACTTGTACATTTGTTGCCCTCATCCTCAAAACATTTGCTTTCTACTTGAGCCCTTGGTATCAGCTCCTCATTTTTTCACAAAAGTCTAGTTTTAAGGGGCAGAACATGGAAGTAATGTTCATGATCTTTTTCATAGACTCTTGAATATCTCATTTTAGTGGCTTATTATTAGAGATAATTATAACTATTATTTTCTATTTGGCAAACACTGCTTGCCGAGCTGTATGCGATTTAACTCAATCCTCACAACAGTTATTTATAGTAGATATTCCTCTTGTTCACATTTTACAGGAAATCGAGGCTGGTGAAGAGTAAAGAAACATTGCCGATGCTGTTTTCTGAGATAGGGAATGCAAATAAGCACTCATTTTAGGGAGATTTCTTAAGGTGAATGTATATCTGGAGAGTATAAGTAAAAAGGTTGTGCGGGCAATTGGCTGTTATGCCTGCAACTTGGAAAGAGATCTGGGATGGAATCAGTTTGGTAGTTACCTGCTTAGTGAAAAAGTACTGAATATGGGTGTCGCAAAAATAGCTAAGCATTTGACTAGTAGCTGAGAAGTTGGTGGTTCAAAGCCACCCAGAAGTCCCTCAGCAGACAGCCCTGACAGTCTATCGCTATAAGACCAGACAGCTCTGGGGACCTTATGGAGCAGTTCTGTTCTGCACACCTGGGTCATCATAAGTTGGAATCCATTTGATAAAACAAAGTTCTTGTGTTGTGTCCCCCGCCCCCAACCCACCCCCTTCAGTCATTATATTTTACTTAGTTTTTTACTTTTGTTTTTAATTGGACATTTTGTAGGGGTTGACATTCCAGATCATCAATTTTGCAAGAAAGTTCTTTAAACTATGTAATTCAGATTTTTTTCCTCTTCCAATATGTATATTTGTTATTCATCAATTTTGGTTGCTTATGTTTTAATGAGTATGAATCAAAATGTTTTCTTCATTCTGATTTATTTATACATGCCAAGCAATTTGCAATTCTTTTTTGTATATTGTTGATGATTCACATTCAATTTGTACAGATTTGAGGGTTTTCTTTTAAATCTGTGCAGAACTTGTCTTTTTTATTTTAGAGAATATTCTTTGAAAATAAATTAAAATTTAAAATATATATATATATATATATTTTTTTTTT